TTCAACCTCCGAGGGCCAGTCGCTGAAGGCTTTAATTCTCATTTGCCAAGTGCTCACTAATGTGACGTGAAACGGTCTGATTATAAACATCAGCAAGATTTGCAGTACAATGCATAATGAGAATATGATTCTTCCCTGGAGGTGGAGCAGAGTTGTCATCACAACCAAGATGATGTAATCTCTTAAAATAGAACCAGCAACTGAGGAAAAACAATACAAGGAAAATTTGAAAATCACAGCACCCTCTGCAGCTGCAGCGGTGAATCACTCTGGTAGTTTTAAAATTCTTTAAAGCAGGTAGGTTTAATGTCAGTCCTCACTATAGCAAGCGACATTAATATTGGAGATGTTTTACTTTAGGTGGCCCAGTGTCAACATTAAGGTATCTGGTAAAGATTCCTCTGGTCTGACTTACACCATGACTTATCCCTAACCTCAGCAAAGCATCTCTGTGACCCACACTGACCACTCTAATAACCTCTCTGAATGAAATTCAACTTAAACTAAACTGTGGATGTTGAAAATTGAAAACAGGAGCCCCTACAAGCTCACAGATCAGACAGTGTCATTCTCATGTAGGTAATGCTGTTTAGAATTGCAATCCACGAAGTTATCTTGCCTCTCTTTACGAAAGGAAATGTACACATTTGAGCACCATTTTTACTTTTGCTGTAAGATTTACCACTTGATTTGACTCATAATAACCGTCGTCCAAATAAGGAAGTGCATCAGACACAGTAAGCACCATAGCAGAGGACTTGAGTTACTTAGTTGAAGATGGTGCGAAATGGAGCGTAGCTAAAGCATCACAGAACATGATTATGGTTTAAGAATTATGCAAGTTTAATACTTAGCATTTGCTCTCAAAATATGTGCGTTCTTTAACTTCTAATACATGAGCAGAATTTTAAAATCTGCTCCTTTTCAGACAATACAGGAAACAGAAACGCCGCAGACTTGATGCTGCTCAAAAGCTACAGAACAGGATGCCACAAAAAAAAGGTTCCTTTTAAAAATCTGAACCACAGATCGCAACGTCTGGAAGAAAAGAAACCACAAGCTTATATCATGGTTTAATAAAATGTTTCCTCTGCCGTTGCTGTCCTAGTTACAAGACTACCTGCATAACTAATCTAAACTACAGGAAATGAACAATTAGCACTTGCACTAGTTCATGTGATTTCTAAAACATCTTGCAGCTTACATTCTTCACATACAATTTATAGGACACTTAATTGTTCCCTTTCAGAGGCATGACACCATTTCTTTGCTCATTAAAGTAGATGTAGAATGGCGGAGGACGAGAGGGAGGATGGAAGGGAGGGCAGGAGGGAGGCAGACGCAGGAGGAGGTAGAGGCCAAGGAGGGTAGCGGAGGATGTGAGGGAGGGAGAGAGAGAGGGAGAGGACGAGAGGGAGAGAGGTTGACGACCAGAGGTGAAGGGAGAGTATAAGAGTCTCTCCCCTCTCCAGTCAACTGCTTTTGCTCCAGTTGTCCTCAGCCTAATAACATCACTTTAGGGTAAGGTTTATTTTTTGGAAAAGTCTCATTAAAAGGGGCTTTAAAATGTACTTTTTAAAAATCCCCCCCAAAAAATTCTAGGTCTGCGTTAACATGTAGTGCTAAGGAATTAGCATTTTCCTGTATTGTTGTGGGTGCGAGTAACCAAGCTGATTTGGTTTCAAATACTGTAGAACTGGGAACTGGATTGAACCTCCCCTAAACTTATTCTATTAGCGGAGAGTCAGAGGGAGAGAAATGTTCAACCCTGCAGTCAAGTGATGTATTCAACTTGTGGTCTGGCAAATACCGACATGATATAAATCCACTGTGTCACTTGGATCCATAATAATATAATCCTTGCATTTGATATAGCCTTATCGCTACTTCGCGACATCTCAAAGCGCTTCACAGAATATACTGTAAAGTGAATTGACGGTATACTTTGTGAGCAAAACTCAACTGCCAATTGCACACAGCAGTGTCCCAAATACATCTAGATTAGAAAGGAAGCAGTAAACCAACTACCATATTTTATACAATCTGTGTTCAGTAATACTAAGCAGATTATTATTTTATATTAGCAACAATACTGAGCACTCACTTGGAAAGAGCCAAGACACCACAGATGCACAGTTAGCTCTACATTACAAAGTAATTCCACCTGGAACCTCTCAGTATTTAGTATCAACAGAAAATCTCAGGGAAAGGTCAGTCTGAGCCATAGATAAAATTATCTTGACCCCAAACTAGGAGACTCCTGACTATGTTATTGTTGATACCCAATTCCAAATAGACTGAGAAAAGAGAGCAACAGACAGAACAGAGCCAGTTTACAGAATTTGAGAGCAGTTTTCTTTGATTTGTCCACTGGCAGATTCTTTCCACTTAAACAGGAATTTACATCCCAAACTGTCCTCTTACACTACAGCTAACCAGTTTTAAACTTTGAACACTTCAGGCAATCCATCACAACTAATTTTTAAGTCTACTTGTGTCTGACAGTTTTATCCAAAGAGGGCACCTGAAACAGCAATTAAAATACAGTGGGTGTGAATGTTAACAGACCTGGTGACACTCCAAATGTTTAGAGCATTTTGCCCATTCACTGATTGCACACATTAATGAGTCCCAATGCACATCACCTCATTAATTACATGAAAGAAAAATATTAAATAGTTAAATTTCGCATTTGGAATAGGTTTCTTCTATAACGATACTCCAAGGCCATAGAGTTGTCAGCTATTGTTCTGTTGAACCATGTAATATTCTGCTACCATCTCTCTATCTCTGTCTCTCACTCTGCATCCCCTTTAATCATCTGTTTAATTGAGCCATTCAGCACTGCTCAGGAATCAATGCTCCTTACCAGATATTCTCCATTGTCTATGGAGTTCTGCAGCATAAACACAACTTTCAACAACTAGTACATGTGCCCTTTCCCCATACCTGTTTATCTATTTTACTCCTTTTAGGTATCTCCTTAATTCCCTTGTTTGAACGCTAATGTGGATTCTGCCTTTTTTTTTGGTCAACCGGGTGTCTGCCACAAGCAGAAACCCAACACCGTGGTTTAGAATATGCAAACCAAGTTGAGATTTCCATGCACCTCACTACACTGGATTTCCCAGATAGCTTGTTGGAATGGGATGCGCACTCTCTCCCTGCTTATTTAATTACGGAATGTATTAGGCGCAGGTTGGCAAGTGCCGAGGCTTGGGGACCCGAGTGTGCATTGGGGGTAACTGCTGGAATCTAACCAGCTAAAGCCGCATAACTTGCAATTGATATTGCTATCTGACAAGCTTTCCCGCTGCTTGTCCAGCTGGGACCGACCTACCCGTTACGCCTTTAGCTTGCACGGTTAACTGGAGCTTAGTGGGATGACTCCCTGCCCCCAGTGACTGGTCTGCCCTTCCAGGTCCTGCCGATCAGCCAAGCTAGACTGTGCTATCATCAGCAGTGCTCTGGAATACTGGGGACTGACCTGGCTCAGGCTCCTTGGAGCCAGTTCAGTTCCAAGGAGACCCCACTTACCTCCCCCCAGTGAGTCACTAATTGGTCATTCGACATCCGACAAGCTTGGGTTTGAGCCTCGCTAGTTAGTTGGTAGATACAAGGAAGTCACATGTGTGAGACACTTGGCTAACCAAAGAAAATTATTGAGGTCAGGGTAACATGTCTGTAGTTGGCAGGATGTTAGGCATCAGGTTTATATAATGTCCTCTCTGGTAAAAACCTTCTGGAAAAAATCTTTTTGACAAGAGCAAAACCCAAGTGACAATATTAAAACAGGATTGTGGCATTACTTATTTATTTAAAAAGGGGAAAATGGACTGAATTAATCAGATGAATATGTACATAGACTTGTTGGGTAAACAGCTGAGTCCCATCAACATTACAATATGTGCTTCAAACGTTACTGGGCAGTCACAAGAAGTTTCAGGGAATCATTATTAAGAAAGGTATGAGCTTATTAAAGGTAGCCAACATTGATTTGTTAAACCAGGTCTTCCTTGTTGAAATCTAATAAAGAGTTCCTTAATAAAATGACCTAAATAATAAAGGTAATACTGTGGATGTGGTTTATTTGGGGTTTTTGGGGGTATTAAATGTCATATTAAATGTATGGTCCCATCATAAGAAGCTTGTTAAAAATAATTTAAGGTGCATGGTATAAAAAAGGTAGAAGCATGGAAAACAGAGTGGAAGTACAATATCAAATGCAAGGATTATTGTTATTATTATATTTATTATTATATTAACATGTTCAACTGTGGACATTTTTAAAAGGGTAAATATAAAAAGGCAATAGGCATGTGGAATAAACTATCCATACAGGTGGTGGAATAAGGAACTATACAGACTTTCAAAAAGGAACTAGATGATTCCTAGAAATTAAAGTTTTCTGAAGTAAAGTTTACCCATCCCGTAGAATCAAGTAAACAGTAACTGAGTACAAACCCTCATTCATCTGGTCAGTATGGATATAAGGTTAGAAATGGAATTCAAGCCAAAAAACTATTTTTTTCTCTTTGTATTCTTGTAATCTGCTTACACTTAAACAGGATTGTAAGATGCACAACTGCAATAGACTGAAATTAGTAAGTATAAAGAGCCAGTGGATTTGCATAAATTAGAAGGAAATTGTATTCGTCTGCAATGGAAAGAGCCATTTACATGAAAATGATGTGTGAAATTATTCACCGTACAACAAAATGATACTTTGACCTTGATTGACATTTTTTAAAAAGTTGATTATCCAACTGTATTTGAACCTGAGGGCTTTACACCAGTCCAGAAATAAAATGCAACTCAAACAAAATAATAGCAGCAGCTTGAATTCAAATATACTAAGCTCTTATTTCATTAACTGTCTTAAGTTAACTACACAAGTTCAATCAAAAAAATGCAACACACTTTAGACAAGTTATTTTAAAACTCATAAAGGGTAATTTGAAACAAGGCAGGATAGGTTATATATAGAAGGGTGGGTTTACCATGTGATAAGTACTGTTCAGTGATGGTCTGTCTGTAGGGTAGGAATCCACATCGTCTGTGATTGTTTGCCGCTCTCCCTTCAAGTTGATCTTCCTGAATCGCCGACGAGACTGACGGTGGGTAACTTCCCTCCGAAGATTTTTCTCCTCACTCTCGCTTATATTTTCCACCTGAAATACATGTTCAGGATCCTGATTGAACATCCAGTTCTTCCATATGATAGAAAGTCGATGGAATCTTAAGAGACTCATGACGATTTGATAAAAGCGTGTCCGTGTTCTGTGTGGACACGTGTTTGGGGATGGGGGGAGGGGAGAAAAGAGCCCACTTTGTCAGGAACGACCCAAGCACAGCCAAGGCAAGAAACTAACTGAGAAAATGACGTTATTTCAATGAGCTGGAGCCCACCACTTCCTTCCAGGAAACAGCAAACGATGGCGTTATCAATGCAAAAATGACTCGTTCTGCAATGCACACAAGGTGCTGAGCCCTGCAGTTTTCTGCTTGTAGGTTAAATATGCCCCCATGTCATACTTACAGAAAGATACACTATCTGTTTGTACATCATTCAGTTCTTTCGATATTTATACTACCGTAATGTAAATTAAAATGTATTCAGTTGCAATACAGTCAATTCACTTTACAGTATATTCTGTGAAGCACTTTGAGACGTCTCAAAGACGTGATAAGACGCTACATCAACTGCAAGGATTATTATTATAAAACACACAGTCACTACACTTCAGAGTAAAATCACCTGAAGCATCCTCCAGATGAGAAAGGTGCTATATCAAATATAAGTATTATTTTATTGCATGAAGGGAGCAAGCTTTAAGCTTTCCTGGTAGATCCCAGCCAGCCTGGAAATAATACAAAAAGATATTCTCCAGCACTCATTTTGCTAACTTTTGTTCAGTCATTTCCTAGTGTTGCATGACAGAGAAAGAGAGAGTGGGAACGTCAGAGACAGAGAAAGAGAAAAATGTCAAAAAATAATGGCATATTCCTGACTGCTGCACATTCTTTGACCTTTCTACCCAACATCAGACGAGAACTTCAAACACTATGCCCCTACTCTCAAAATCCCTCCACTTTGTCCTCTCAATCTCTCTTTAAAATGCTCCTGAAAATCTACCTGTTTGACAATGCTACTACCAGCTCCCACTATGAAGTGTTTCAAGACATTACCCGATGTCAAAGGTGTTATATAAATGCAACTTGTTGCGGTCATGACAGGCAAGGAGGAAACTCTACATTGCAGTCTTTTAAAATTTAGAAAACATGTTATCACTGTAATTTTTATGTAGCATAATATTGTTCCAAAATTACTTGAAATGTGTTTTTGACTGCACCATAATCCCCACTTTACACGTTGTAATTTGTCTTCCCAAACACAACTCTGAAAATTGGACTGTTGCCTTATACTTGGAACAATATTGTATTCAAAAATAAGGAAAAGCAGGAGGAGAATGGCACTAAATGGATAGATAAATGCACTAAATTAGATACATGCACGATGGGCCAAATAGCTTCCTTCTGTGCTATAAATTTTTTACGGTTCTATGATTTGCTTTTCCCTAATTTCTGGCAGTTTAGGGACAGTTACAAATGAGTTAAATAAGAAAAACAATTTGTGGGAATGCAAAGCAGCAAAAGGAATGAAAGGCTGGCTTGAGGGTAACCTTTTTTTTCTGCCGCCTGGTTCAAAGTACCACCTTTGTATCCTGAGCGCACATTATAGAACTTCCTCTCTATGTAAATAGGCTACAATCCTGGTCTGGTACTTAAACCGGAACTCAACACAAACACTGAGAAAACACATTCAATTCATGGATATCCTGAATAAACTATTTGCAAGCTCTAGGGTGGGGAGGGAGTGGTGGAGAAGGAATTCATGGTGAGTACTGCAGCATAAACTTGACCTGAAAAAAACAGCCATCGCATGAATTAATTGACTGAAGGACTTTTTCAACATTTTAACTGAAGCGGCCTAAATCAAACATCTAAAAGGAAGACACAATGTGTGTATGGTTTCTGACCATTCCAACTGGAAATACAAATCTGCCTATTTTTTGAAGGAGTAGGAACAATAATAACATCTTTCACATCGGGCAGACATCTCAGATTGCTTCACAGGATTTTCTGTAATGTGTAGTGATTGTGTATTTTGTAGATCAACAAGGCCGCCAATTTGCGCACAGCAATATCTCACAAACAGCCATGGTGTGAATAATCTGGCAGATTGTTGGCCAGGACTCCAGCTAAGCTCCCTTTTCTTTATGAATAGTGCCATGGGATCTTTAATGCCTGCCTGAACAGACAGCCTGGACCTCAGTTTAATATTCCACCTGAAGGACGGCACTTTCAATAATAAAGCCCACACACTGCATTGAAGTGTCAGCCCAGACTATGTGAGTTCAAACCCCAACATGAGACTTGAACCTACAACTTTCTAACTCAGAGGCGAGAGTACTACCAATTCAGTCAGGATGACAAAGAATCCTGCATCATTTAAAAAATGTTTTATATATTATCCCATATAAGCTCTCATAAGTATCAAAGTAATGAAAATGTATATACAGGGCGATGAAAAACTCTTATTTTTCAGCTACCTTGTTATCTAAAAAAAATGATAATTTCTTTAAGACTTATTAGACATTGTTATGGTATCATGACTTTTTGGCCACCGTGAACTAACCAAATGAAGGAAATCCAGAATGGAATAGTAGAGGGGTGAGAAGGGGAGAGGAAAAGAGGTGTGGCAAAGAATACACATCTCATAGCACAAACTCTAGGATAACCCATAAGCTAGCCACAACTGTCAAACTATGATATACTGAATGTCAATCATGATAAACTGTGACCATGTAAATAATATGATGCTGTCATGATGATGCCAATTTATTATTCTATACTTGCACAAAGATCAAAAGTTGAAGCAAGAGGATCTCGCACACGCTATCTCTTAAAGGTCATTATTGTCAATGTCATCAGGTAACTGAATGCTCACCTGTGCCCAAGAATAGTACACATCAGTTTTCAAGACAGCATGGGGTGCAAGGAAATTCAAAAGTAACTCACCATCATGTCTATCACTATTCTTTATCAGGAAACTAGACTAGAGAGATAGACCATGTGGGTTTGAGTCACATCAATACTATCTTATCATATACAGTGGAATAAATGCAAGGATTATTATTTTATTATTGATTTTAGAAAGTTCAGAACCTATTTTTATAAGCCTATTAGTGTTTTTAACTTACTGAATCTATCTTAAATGCAGCCTGTTAAAAATAAGATTAAGTTTATAGTGAGGTTACTCAACTTGGCTATAAACTTAGTGATAAAAGTGCAAACTACAGCGGAGTATATAATGAAGCATAACACAGAATGTGAGAGCTGGCACTTGTTATGAAACGGAAAAAGCAAAAATAAATAAAAAGTTGTATTACAAGCCTGTTCTCACCAGAATCATTTCTGAAGGCTCCAAAACGATGCATTCACTTCGTCTCAGGCTTCCTGCAGACTGCTTGCCAAAGCTGCAAAAGGGTGAAGAAAAGGAAAATGTTTACATTCAATTAGTGAAACTAATCAAGTGATTATCCACTGCCATAATATTTGCAGTGCACTGTACATTTGTGTATAGTTAGAGGGGAACTTTTATCTGTTCTCCCTGCTTTGAGAGATTGACAGGACAGCATTATCACTGCTGGCAGACATGACCTTCCAGTCAATCAATGAAACATTTCATAACACTGACTGACAACAAAGGCAAAAGGCCATCAATGGGAAGGTTTCCCACAATTTAATGTAATGCCGCACAAACTGATGATTGCAGATTTCTGATTCAATGACGTCAGGAATAGTTACATCTATTGAATGCATATGTATTGTCTCATTGATCACTGTGACAGACTATTCCCTTTACCATTGTGACTGAAGGGTTCAACCTATCACAGCTAAAATAACAAGTTATCAAAAGAAACCAAATTGCAAACTCACCATCCCATAAATATTACAAATATTAATATTACTAATAGAGAACATACACAGTGGAGATGCAATATTAGTGCAGCAGTTGGTCCAATTTAAAATTGCTAAAAAACGACTGGTGAAGAAGCTCATGAACATCTCACATGGAGGGGGGCCCAACAAGATATCTGATGCCTTGTGACTTGTACAAAAATAGAGTTGGACTGCGTGTCAGCCTGGGTCCAATCTGAATAGAGAACACCACCTCACCAAACAATCCATTGATATGCGGCTATTGATCAAATGTGTTTGAAACAACGTGCCCATCATTGGTATCCCCTGCTGTGGTTTCAACTGAAACTCTGTGAAGTTGATTACGAAACCCAGCTTATCAAACAGTGGGAAGGACACAGCAGTCTCTCACCAAATAGCACGTCTTCTAGATGGGTCTTCAAAAGGCAATGCAAGGTTTATTAATAATAATAATAATAATAAATAATAAGGTTTATTAAGAAGCGACTCTACCACTACTTAATGTCCACCTGAACAGGCAGACGGGACCTCGGTTTAATGTCTTCTCCAACAATGCACTGGAGTGTCAGTCTATACTATGAGTTCAAAGTCATGACTTGGCCTTGAACCCACAACCTTCTGACTCAGAGACAAGAGTGCTACCAACTGAACCAGGGTGACACAGGCTAGAGAAAGAGAGAGGGTGGGGGTACAGGTAGAGGGAGCGCTTTTCCTGATGTGAAAAGTGCTATGCAAATGTAATTTGTTATTATTGTTGTTGACAATGGCAACTGCAACTGCTCGGTGGAGTCCTGTAGCTCAGTGGTTAGAGCAGTCGCTTTGCAAGCGAGAGACCTGAGTTCAATTCCAGGCAGGTCAGGGAGAAACCGTGGGCAAGTTTCCTTATTCCACACGCCTAATAATAATCCCTCCAAAACCAAAAACAATAATAAATTGGTCATTTTCAACCTATGACTGTTTGTAGGACATTGCTGTGCGCAATTGGCTGCCGCGTTCGCCCACAAATATACAGTGTGTTCTGTGAAGCGCTTTGGGACGTCCTCCCGACGTGATAAGTGCTATATCAAATGCAAGGATTATTATTATTATTATTATACAATGTGCCCTTATTTTTTAAATAAACATCCTTTACAGCACCTTATTAAAAGCCGTCTAAAAATCTATATGTACCACATCTACAGCACTACCTATACCTTCTGCTATTCTTGGTTACTTTGTAAAAAAACTCTATTTTTGTCAGGCGAGACTTGTCTTGAACAAATCCATGCTGATTGTCTTTAATCAACTCATATCTTTCAAAGTGGTTATTAATATTATCTCGTATTATAGCCTCTAAAAGTTTGCTCACAATGGATGTAATTATAGACCGACTGGTCAATAATAACTCGGCTGGTCCCATTGACCCTTTTTAAATAGACACATTACATTAGCTACCCTACAGTCTCAACTTTGGCACATCTTTCACATCTAAGGAAGTTCAAAAAATTGTAGTCGGAGCATATAATTCCTCCCTCACTACCCTCAGCATTCTCAGTCAACTCTTATGGACAACAGAAACGAACACTGATAATTTCAAAACACATAATTATAACAACAAATAATAATAAATGCTTTGTGCATATTGCTCAAATTCAAAATGAAATACACCATACCCCACCTGCAGTTAGGGAATTAGAGGCTGAATTGCGAATTTACATTTTCGAAAATGTCTTGCTAAGTAAAAGAAGGAAACTGAAGAATAACATTATTTCTAGCATGACCTTAAAGTTTCTTTAACCAGCAGTACGAAGTCTGAGTTTAGACTGTTCGCACCTCAAACAGCACACACATCATGAGTGACATGTTTCACTTATAATAATAATAATCCTTCCAGTTGATATAGCGCCATATGGACAAGAGAATCACGTCTTTGAGACGTCTCAAAGAACTTCACAGAATATACTGTATATTTTGTGGGCGAAATGCGGCAGCCAGTTGGGCACAGCAATGTCCCACAAGCAGTCATGGATTGAGAGACCCATTTTTTTTTCTCTGAAAGAATTATTAACCCCAGAAAAGCAATCCATCAATCGACTAACAACTGGGTTCTTACTTACTGCTTGGTAAACAAAGGCATGTGGAGTAAGGCAACTTGCCCAATGTTTCGCCCTGCTCGGGAATCAAACCCAGGTCCTCTCCCTTGTGAGGTGAGTGCTCTAACCTCTGAGCTACAGGATTCCACAACGTGCAGTCAATTCCAAAGACCCGTCTGCCCAACTCTCCTATCTGCGAAGCCCACATGATACCACAGTGACACTCACCTCAGTGGCTGATTGGTTTTCCGGAGAGATACATAGCTGTATCGCATCAGTGATGAGCTCAGAACTATACAATTTTTTTTTGTTTTGTCATCTATTTTATTTTATTTATTTCAAATTCATTTTTATTTATTTTAAATGTTAGGTAAGATTTACAGGGTGCATTTTATTATAATTATTTTAAATGCATTAACACTTAGCTGGATTTCTCCCCTATTAGTCTGGTGAACTGGGGATTAAGCGTACCCAATAATACAAAGCTACTGAGACTCTTCAGAGTTTTTGCCAACGGCAGCCAAAATTTACATAGATTTACGTAGGCTGTACAACATGGAAACAGGCCATTCAGCTCAACAAGTCCATGTGAGTCTCCACCCACTCACAACCTCATGTGTAAATCTCACTTCCTCTTAAATGTAATACACTATCTGATTCAACCACCACTTTGGGAAACATTCTCCACATTTTCACAACCCTCTGCATGAAGTAGTTCCTCCTAAATTCTCTTTTAGATCCCCTAATCGCTATCTTATATTTGTGCCTCTGGGTACGGATTCCACAACAAGTGGGAAATGTCTACTTTTACTAACTTCATCAAACTCTTTTATAATTTTCAACATCTCTAGTAGGTCCCCTTGTAAACGCCTCTTCTCGGGAAAAACTGGCCTGATCTATCCAATCTACCCTAATAGCAGTAAACTACTAGTCTGGTATCATCCTTGTAAATCTACTCTGTACTCTTTCTATCACTGCTATACCTTTTAGTGTGGTGACCAGAATTAGTCACAGTACTCCAAATGTGGTCTAACCAGGGTTTTATACAAATTCATTATGACATTCTCACTTTTCTCTCTCTGGATATGAAGCCCAAGACCCCATTGGCCCTTTTTTTAAAAAAAATATTGCATTATCTACCTGCGTAACTAATCTGAATCCCCAGATCTCTTTGATCTTCTTTGTTTCCTACCATTTAAACTATGTACGACTTCTTTATTTTTTCTGCCAAAGTGAATTATTTTGCAGTTTCCTATGTTAAACTTCATTTGCCATCTGTCTGCCCATTCTGCCAGCCTGCATTGTACATTTCTCTTAACTATTTAACATGCCTCCAGTTTGATGGTCATCTGCAAATTTAGACACCTCTCCTATGTCTGAACCCAAATAATAATAATAATCCTTACATTTGATGTAAAACAGTACCACTTCCAATCTCTTGCCAGTATCTATTGAGTTAAATGTAGTATAAATGCAATGTGAATAAATGCAAGTTGTTGTTAACTCCTACTCTTTGCTTTCTGTTTTCTAACCATTCTTGAATACTTCTCCCACGACTCCACACACGCCGATTTTAATTCTACGTTTCTCATGTGGTACTTTATCAAAGGCCTCCTGGAAATGCAAATATACTACATCCACTGCATTATCCTCGTCTACTATATAGATTATATCTTCAAAGAATTCGATAAGGTTTGTCATGCATGATCTACCTTTTGAAAATCCATGCAGGCTGCTCTTACTTATATTCTCCTTCTCTAGAGTCAATTCATCTTTTATTATGGATTACCCACAGTCAATGTCAAGATGACTGTCCTACAATTTCTTGGATAAGGTCTATCACCATTTTTAATAACAGGTATTATATTCGCCAACCTCCAATCTTATGGCACGATTCCTTTCTCTACCAAGTTCATTAACTTTATATAATTTATGTAATTTATAGTTTATATAATTTATATATTATAAATATATATAACAGTCTTTGAGTGTAGTCCATCCTCTTGAAGCCCTTGTCCTCTTGAAGCTTGTGTAATTTATCTAGTATCTCCATTCCACAATCCCTAGCCTGGCTTTCTGCCAAACTCTGGAATACTCTTCCTCTATCCCTCTGCCTTGCCCCTTCCTTCCCCATCTTCAAGTCGTGCCTGAAGACATTCCTTTTAGACAGTACCTACGGTCACCTCACCCTCCTTTCGGTTCAGCGACATGCTCCGCCACTGTCTAGGGCTCTGGGATGCTATCCTGCATGAGGAACACTATATAAATGCAAGTTGTTGTTTTATCAATTCCTATAAAATGATTACATCGCAGATTTTTTCAGTTCTCATCGAGAACTTTTTCGGGGGAGGGGAGGGGAAAAGAACAATTTATAGAGTGTGTGTGAAGGAGGGAGAGCGTGTGTCGGTAAGAGAGTACATGAGAGAGGGGAGAGAGAAAGAGGGAAAGCGGGAGAAACAAAGAGGGTGAGAGAGGGCAGAAAGAGGCATTCTTCTACTCTTCTTCTAATCCTCTACTTCACTGCATTTCTGTTGTCTAATTTATTGATTACATCTTCAAAGGATTCGATAAGGTTGGTCAAGCATTACCTACCTTTTCTAAGACCACACTAGCTGCTTTTAATTATATTCTTTTTTCTAGATGACGAATTACTTCACCTTTTATTTATGGATTCCAATTCCTTGCCCACAACCAATGTTAAGTTAACTGGTCTACAGTTTCCTGGATCAGGTCTACCAACCTTTTTAAAAATAGATATTACAGATTATTAATTTAGTATTACAACCATTTATTATCTGCTGTGATCTTATCCCCCTCTCCCCTTAATGGTGCTAATCCCTACTTTAACCATTAAATTATTGCTAACATATCTACAGAACACCGTGCTATTCCTTTTTATATTTTTTGCTCTATTCTCTTCATGGTTCTTCTTTGCCTTCCTAATCATCTTTTTAACCGATTTCCGAAATTTTCTGTATTCACTCCTATTTTCGTCTCTGTCATCTATTCATTACTTTACAAATATGTTTGATTACCCCTTCCATTTCTCTCATTTTGTTCCTTGTGCTCTGTTCATTGCAGCATAGACCATATAGTACAGGCAACTTATTCAATCATCTGAGGAAAACCATGATCCTAGTAAAGTACAGGAAATATATTCTCTGAATCCTTTAACTCCTCCCAAATATGATCCAGCGATAAGATTAGGAACCTAAAAAAGGGAAGATGCTGCCTTCGAATTCTGCCATAATAATCCTTGCCTTTGATATTGCCTTATCATGTCATTGAGACATCTCAAATAGATTGCGTAATTTATTACACAATAATTTATTGTGTAATTTACTGCACCCCCAAATTGTTTTCCTATCTCATTCCCGACCAATATATTGTGGCGTCCTCATTATTATGTTGGATTCAGAATAGAAGTCCTTGGGATTATCAAGTTCTTCTTTGTTCAATAATAATAATCCTTGCATTTGATACAGCGCTTTTCACGTCTTCTCGACATCTCAAAGCGCTTCATAGAATAGACTGTAAAGTGAATTGACCGTATATTTGTGGGCGAATACAAGAGACAACTGTTGCAAATCCCCTCATTTTGTCAAAGGACTCCAACATTGCTGAGAAATTCCATCATTGCTGGAAAGTACATCACATGCATAGGATCCATCACAGGAATACTGAAGGGTTCCGTTTAACCCGTATTGATGCAAATAATTGATGATTGTCATTGGAGCCTGACACTGAATGGAGACGGAAGTTCCAACAAAACACAATCACAACAAACACAGCGAGGCTGTGTTTGCGAATAGAAATGCACCAACTATTTGATATGTTCTTCACCTTACCTGCATCCTCAAAACTCACAGTATTTGTCTCCTACTAAAACTCGTTCTTTCACAGGAACCTCAAGACTTTCAAATGCTTTAGCTCCATCAGGATTCACTTCCTCCTACAATTACCAAGACTTTAAGCCTAAAGACTTCTGGCAGGTCTACAGGCATCTCTGCCTTTGTAATGCAACTGAGTCACGGAAACTATGACATAATAAGCATCAGAATAGTTTGTTATTACTGTTATATTTCCTGCACATCACTAAAATAGAAAAAAATATACATTTAAAAATTTAAATATTCTAAAACATTAGCTCTGCTCACTCCACCTCAGCTTTCTCTTTATCATGTTCCACATGTTTCACCTTCCAACTATTCTATTTTTTCTTTCCTATTCTGAATTATGTGAAACACCACTTATCTCTGGGTTTCTTCTGTCCGTCCCTGACACATCCAATCAATTTTTTTCAGCTGAAAATAGTTTTTTCAGACTATGAAAATGTAAAGATTGAGAGGCTGTATCCTGTAGCCAGATCAGCCTCTAGTGTTGTTCTCAGGTCTAAAGGAGGAAGTGGAGGGGATAAGTAAAACATGGGCAAAATCTCATCAATGGCCTGGATTCAAACAAGGTAAAACATCAGTGAGATAAATGGCTTCCCTATCTCAGGATTTTAAGAACTGACTTGGTTTATAAACCAACAGAATATTTATTATCCTTAAAAAAAATTATACACTACCTGCAACGTGGAAGATACATCGACTCTTTGATAAATACACATCCTGAAAGGAGGATGTACCAGCAAGTGGCAATGCTGTTAGGACTAAAATATATAAAAAATAAAGTTAGCAAACGTACAAGTACAACATTAGGGAATAACTAAGTAGCGTGTCAGGCTCGCATATTTGGCAGCACTCTCATCTCTAAAAGCTGGTAGCTCAAGCCCAACAAGTCTTTGAATTTGCACAGTCTAAGCTGACACTCCACTACATTGCTAGAGGGGGTGTGGGAGAGTTGCATTGCCGAAGGCGATGAGCTTCAGATGAGACATTAAACCGAAGTTCACATCTGCCTGTTCAGGTGGATGTTAAAGATCCTATGATGCTACTCGTAAAGAGAAGGGAATTTTTCCCCGTTGGTTTGTCCAGCAATCCTCCAAATATAATTGGTCATTCATTTCAAAGCTCTTTATGGGACATTGCCATGCATAATTAAACTGCTGCATTCACCTACAAATAACAGTCACTACACTTCAAGATAAATCCTGCGAAAAGCTTTGTGATGTCCTCCCAAACGTGAAAGATGCTATATTATATACAAACGCATGAATTATTATTATTCACTAAATTCTGAACCATGGAACGAAAAAGAGAAACACAATAAATGCCCAGCTCCGGGTATCTGGAAATCCGGGTACGAAAGGAAAAATTTAAAAAAATCTGCGGCCCCGTTCATGTGGTCTCTCGCCGCTCCACCACCCCTACTCTCCTAGCACGCACCCCCACCTCACCTTCCTTGGTGGCCTTCAGTATCGACTGAGTCAGTTTGTATCCCATGAGCTTAAAATAGCAAAAAAAAAAGTTTGTAAATGCAAATTTTTGCTGCCATTGTAATTACACTTAACTGGAAATTCAGCACACCAGACCGGAACCCCATTGGTTCGGTTAGCCGCAGTTTTAGTGCAGTTTAATTGGACATAGTAATAATAAGCCTTGCATTTCATACAGCGCCTTATCACGTCATTGAGATGTCTCAAAGCGCTTCACAGAATATACTGTATATTCACAAAGTGTATATTTTGTGGGTGAAATAGTATTCCAGAGCAGATACTAAATTATCCAATTGATTTATCATAGATTCATCTAATTTATGTAGTTCAAAAATATGATTGAGAATATTCATACAGTACAATAATCCTTACATATTGATACATCACATTGTTGAGATTTCTCAAAGCACTTCACAACTTTTTAATGTTGAAGTGTACTGACTGTGTATTTGTAGATGAACATGGCGACCAGTTTACACTCAGAAATGTCCCATGAACAGAATGACCAATTTTATGTGGGACATTGTTGGTTAATGCACATGCTAAGAATCTCCCTTCTCTTTTTGAATAGTGCCATGGGATCTTTAACATCCACCTGAATAGTCAAGACTTTGGTTTATCATCTCATCCCAAGTACAGCACCACCAACAATATAGCGTAACCCCAGCACCGCATTGGGGTGTCAGTCTAGACTGTAAGATCAAAGTCCCAACTTGGGGCTTGAACCCACAATCTTGTGACTTAGAAGTGACAGTGACTCGTATGATTCATCTAGAAATCATACGATTCCTAACAATGCCATGACTCGTTGATACACAATTGCAAATACACTGCACAGAATTTTTCAGAATCCCCTGCTCAGAGGCAGAACTATTTCAACCATTACCCATGAAGAATCATAGGTTATGAACTTTCAGGCTAAACCGTTATAGGAAAGAGGTTAAGGTGCTGGAGGCAGTAGAGGAACTTCACTAGGATGTTGCCTGGAATGAGGAAATTCAGATGTAGGGAATAGCTTGAGGTACTTAGATAATGGGATGCTTAGATAGGGAAACATTATTTCCAGTGTCAGGGGGTCTAGAACTAATATTACAAATAATAATAGACCTTGCTTTTGATATAGCTCTTTTCAGGTTTTCCAGGCGTCTCAAAGCGCTTCACAGAATATACTGTAAAGTGAATTGACTGTATATTTGTGGGCGGAACGCAGCAGCCAATTGCGCACAGCAGTGTCCCACGGAGAGCACAGTTTTATTTATTTTCTTTCAAGTGAATACTCAATAAGCCCATTGCTTACACGAAAATAACAATGTTCTTGGGTACCACAATACACTGAAACAGTGCCACAATCAAATGATGTTTTTTTTCTCTTTCTCCTGCCTTAAGAAATTACTTGTAATTGTGCCATTTTCAAACCCTCCAAGAGTCAGCACAAAATATGCAACCAATCCCGAAGCTTTGCATAATATTTAGACTTTCACCTTTTCAAGATGAAAGAGAATTGTCGAGCAACGTCACGAATACTTACTAGAACAAGACTTCATTTGCATCATGTCTTTCATAACGCACAGTTGTGCACATCAATCTGAAAGACAAACGGTTACATAACAAAGATTTTTTAAATAGCAATGAGGAAAATATTGCAACCATCTGATCATTTTTCAAACCTCTGCTTACCTTGTCTGGAAAACTGGATTTTTCCAAACAAAGCAGGTTAGAAAACTTTGTCGTTGAATGACAAAGTTATATTCAGGTTCAAAAAACAGGGTGTTCTGAAAGATTACTCATTAATACAATTGCATGATAAGATTCCCACACATCAGAAATATTAGACGAGTAGGACTGGGTGGCTGAGAATTAGTTTTTCTCTCTTCATTCTTAGAGAATAAAATACCATCTACTTAAAAAAAGTGTTCAGATTTTTTTGGCGGTCAGCCAATGTATGACACATGCGAATCCATCACATTAGAATACATTAGAATATACAGCACAGAAACAGGCCATTCAGTCCAACTGGTCTATGCCAGTGTTTATGCTCCTCCTGCCCTTCCTCAACTAAGCCTTCAAGCATGACCTTCTATTCCTAGCTTCCCCTTAAATACAACTTTACCATTTGCCTCAACAACTCCTTGTGATAGCATGTTCCACATTCCCACTACTCTCTGTGTGAAGACATTTCTTCTAACTTCCCTATTTCCCTACCGCCATGCTTAACCCTATCCAAACCATTCGGAGTTCCACATATGCATGCCACCTAAACATGAAATGTTCCCTTGCAATCGTGCCATTTTCAATGCAGTACACATTCTCTCCCTTGGAGAATTCAATCCCAGCTGGAGTGCAAACCCTCAAATGTCTAGCCCCTTGGGACGTCCTCCCGATGGGAAAGCTGCTATATAAATCCAATTTGTTTGTTTGTTGTTGTTGGAGGGACATACCCTGCTTACCTAAATCCAGAGAGCATTAGATACTGGTTAGCAAGAGCCAAGGCTCGGGGACCCGAGAGTGTGGATTGGGGTACTGCTGCAGTTTAACTAGCTAAAACCGTATGGCTTGCCACTGAGAACATGCTTGTTCAGCTAGGACTATCCTACACTTGAGTTTGCCCTTCTAAGTCTTGCCAACGAGCCAGGTTGGCTTGCCTGTTGTGAATAATGCCCTGGAGTACTGAAGATCCACCTAACTTTGGAACTGGACCACAGACACCGGCATAGAAGGTTGACTCGATTCCATTGCCAAGGATCTTGGTACCAACTCACACTGCCAAGGAGGAAACCTCATAAGGTACAAAATAGATCAACCATCATCATAATCACCAATCTCTGAATTCCCCATCCACACCCAAAATGTGTAACCACATTGGAAATCACCTAAACAGGGATTTTTATGTCCAAAAATCTTAAGGTTGTTAAAGCCACAAATAGAAGGGTTTTTTTTACAGCTAATTTCAGAATTGTTTAAAATTGAAGATCATCAATTCCTGTTAAGGTAATCCCACTTCTCTATAATGAAATCTGGTTGAATCAGGTTATGAAACCCAAGCATACAACAAAATCCACAACAGTAACAGAGTTAGAGATGGTGATAGTTGACGCACTGCTTCTGCACAATATAAAGGGTTGCGCGTAGGACTCCTTACCTCTGAGCAGCTAAGCTGTTTGAGGCTCTACATAATGGACCTGTGTGTGCGTGTGGGGGTGGGGGAAGGGGCTGTGATGGGAACATTTAAAAGACTAAAAAATTATTAATGTCATGGTTTTCTAACAATGTTTCCATGAGAATGATTGATTCATTTTGTTCCTGCTCAACCCTTTACTGGTGCAGAGTGGAGATTAGGTGGAGGAATCTAAATTTGTTGTATAAATTGTTCATGTCACTAAATGTCAAGTGTTTTTAGATATCTCTTTACCGAACAAATCATACTGAGAAAGTTGTTAAAAAGGAGTTACTTAAAACACCAGTGCCGAGGAATGAGAATCATTACAAGTTTCATTTTGCCAAATGTCTTTGTACACATAAGTACTCACCTGAGCTGATGTTCCCTCAAATTAGACAAGTCATCCATGCCATGGAGATGAGAGTATATAACTTCTAAATCCTTTTCAAGAAAAAATAAGACATATTAAAATCAAAAGCAACAAAAAACTTTTTATCAACAAAAATGTCAAATCAACCTTTTTCAGTAACGTAGCGTTAGGACTTATTCTGAATATACCAGATCAGGCATGAGCATATTCAGATTTATTCAAATGGAGCCTGGGAACCACAACCACCATACTGCAAGAAATCACCAAGCTCAGCAATGCTACGGAGTTGCAAAGAAACTTTGGCTTTGTCCCGTCCAAGATAGTCTTGTTTAAATACATAGAAGCCTTACAATGTTACATTCAGAGTGGCTGTAAGATGCAGGTGGGAAATGATAGCATCCTTATAATTTCCCAAACCCCAAAATAACCCTTCATGTCACGTCCCTCAAATGGCACTGTAAACACTGCTCATATCCCCATCTTATCCGCCCCACCACTGCCTCCCCGCTCTCTGGAACCCGAAGTTACCCTCAGCTGTGGAGAAACCACTTAGAAATTACTTGTAAGAGAAGACATTACTTATAATCATAAGAATCCTTGCATTTGCTATAGTGCCTCATCACGTCTTTGAGAAGTCTCAAAGCGCTTCACAGAATATACTGTAAAGTGAATTGACTGTATATTTTGTGGGTGAAGCTAATTGGAACATAGTTGCACATTTTTCACACTGATTGTTAAGTGCATATCATTTATTATCCACTTCAGAACACTTAGGAGCTGGAGCGATAATGACAGCACATTAGAGTTTACACATCGGCTATTTAATTACTTCAACTGCTGAGAAAGCTAAAACCCAACTGAGGGGGAAACTGTATAGAACTACAGAACTCTACAGCAGTAGCGAATCTCGGTGCCTTGGGACGTCTTCCCAACGTGAATAATTTGTTGTCGTAGTTCATGTGGAATTAAACCTCCTTATTGCAAAAAAAAAGAGTAGAGGGCCCAACACAAACGTGGGTACGGGGTCCTGCACATCCACAATGCACCAGAAGTGACGTCAGAAGTGACCTGAAGACCCAGCGTTGACCATTTTTTAAAAATAAGCAGACAACCATTTTTCTAGATGCTCAGTGAATATAGAAACCGACGGGCAATAAAAGCAGACTGGTGTTTTACAGCGCTTCGACTGCCATCTCATGCAGGGCCACGGAAACGCTGCACTATCGGGGATGCGATCCTTCTGAAGAGACGTTATAACCGACATCCTGTCCGACTGTTCAGGTGGGCATTAAAGTTAAATACAAATGCTGTGAAAAGCTTTGAGACATCTCGACGATGAGATAAGGCGCTATATCAAATGCATGGATTATTATTATTATCATGTTATTATATTATTATCATGGGGGGGTCATCACAGTTTAAAAATAATAGACTGCAATTCTCAAGCTTCCATCTTTACGTGGATGAAAGAGAGACAACATACCAAGTAATAATTATAATAATATTAATAATAATCCTAACATTTGATATAGCGCCTTATCACGCCTTCGAAACGTCTCAAAGCGCTTCACAGAACATACTGTAAAGACAATTGACTGTATATTTTATGGGTGAAACCCGGCAGCCAATTGCGCACAACAGTGTCCCATAAACAGTCGTGGATTGAATGACCAAATTAGAATTTTTTTTAATGTATTTACCCACTGACCCAGGAGAAAAGCCACTTATATTTTGATATTTACAAATTTATGAAAGCTATGGGATTAGTTTCCCTAATCTGGCTTCAAAGCCCTGCAGATAAAAAGCAAGTCTTCCAAAGGAGACCACTGTTTGGTGAAAGCAGAAAGGCTAATGCCAAGAGTTCCACAGTGGGTAGCGTTATAGAGCAGGACTTGTTATTTTCAAAGTGGAAATCACTGACAAAGAGAAACGAAACAAAAATGGAAAAAACCATTCCACCCTCAACACACTGATTTTTGCGTCAAAGCAAACCTCAGCATTTGTATGAAGGAAAAATAAACCAAATCTTTGCATTTCAGAGGAAACTCCGGAATGAAATGTTGAAGGCTTATCCTTTGCGCTCGATACTCATGGCCTCCAGTAACTGATGACATTTCCACTTTCAAAACCATCCGTAAGTGTCGTTGAATTTAACCTACAAATCCCTTCTATCAAAGCACCTACTTCCTTTTGAAGAGAAAAAAATTGATTTTGCATTCGGCATCATACAACCACAAGAATGCAGAACGACACAACATGCAAGGTCCAAATGGTCATGCTAATGATGCAAGAAACCTTAAAGCTTGCACAACTAGAGCAAACTCAACACCAACAAGCAATGGGGGAAAGCTCTTAATCCTATGTTCCTTGAAGCAGTTGAATTATATAGTATAGGCTAAATGCGATGATGCATTAAACCCATAACTGCTTTCTTTATTTTTGGAGCCAAAACTATGATTAAAATCAGTCAAACTACAATGGAATTTCCCCCTCACGCCACTTAGCTTTTGAACTTGATCAGATAGCATGTAATAGCAAGTATTTATTTGTGCATTTTGAAAGCAAAAACAATTTCCTTTCAGGGCAACACCAGCAGCCAGAAGAAATAACTTCCGGTTTAAAATAAGTTGTTTCGATGACAAACAGTCGCAGTATAGCACAGAATGTCAACTGCAGCATTTAGACTGGACTATTTTTAAAATGTTCTGTCCTTTCTTGTGAAGTTGCTGTTTTTTTTGCGGAGATAAATCTCCCCAGGCACCAGCAACCTGCCAGTATCTCAGCCAAGTAGTCATTCGTCACGTGCAAGCCTAGACATTGAATGCCACCAGACTATTTGACCATGTGGGGCTGTCTCATACTCAATTCCGAGCTTGTCCTCATCTGATGTCAACACGCATGCACATTCTGACATAATACAGATCTGATCATTAGCACAAACCTGGCTGTACACACTGGAACAATTGCACACAGTTGTATATAACGGTACAGTTTCCCACAGAGGTGTAGATCACATACTGGTGTTTGATATTGATGTTTCTAGAGATAGTTCACACAAACACCTGCAGACATTACACTTTACAGTACATCCTGTGAAGCACTTTGGGACACCCCTGCTAACATGAAAGGCACTGTATCAAATCTAAGGTTTACAGTAAACCTCACATAAGTTTATCAGTCGGGACCTTTATATTTAATATGACTTACGCAATGTCTGAGTTTCTCCACCAGTGTTACTTCACGGTAAAATAATGTTTTCATGCAAACTTTGAAATAATTCCTCTTGTTCAATGCATATTGCCACCTAGTGGTAATACTTGCCAGTGTGAGAGATTCAGAAATGTTTACATCTAATCAATTAAGTGAAATAATCACTGGAACAGCCCCAAGGTGTAGAATCCCCATCTTCACACAGCCCTACTTTGCACAGTTGAACCTCCCACTGGATTACTGGCAGCTTTCATTTATGAGGTCAAAGGAAGAATATATTATGTGTGTATATAGATATACTGTATATTATATTCCGAACGTCCCTCTAGTGGGCTCATTTAGATTATAAAATGAGAGGCAGTGGATTACTGGCAGCTTTCATTCATGATGTCAAAGGAAGAATACCTTATGTGTATATATACATATACACACACATATATATATATACACACACTGTATATTATATTCTGAAGATCCTCCTAGTGGGCTCATTTTTTAACCATCAGTAAATTTGCTGGTCTTGGCAGGATATGCACACCACGTTCTCTGTTAATTGGTACATTTCCCAACTGTATGAAATTAAAATGTGATTTGACCATTGTTATCTCCCAATGCCAAAGTGAGTAGAATGATCAGAGATCTCTCCAGGTTTCAGTAGTAAAAGGAATAGCAGGTATGGGAGAGAGGCAAGCTCACACACTCACATGGAGACTCAGAAACTAGCAAGAAGACAGCAGCCCGAATGCGAGCTCAGCACCTCGTGACGAGGAAGCTTCCTTTTGAATTTACTTATTTTACAAATGAATATTTCAGGACAAAGTTATTAAAAGGTCATTTCATGCTGCAAACATTCAAGGATTCACTTCCCTTTGCAGAAATTTCAATTTCTTAATTTCCAGCATTTATATTAAGCACAATTTAAAACTGTATTGAGTATGGTGCATTCAACTACAACAACTTGTGTTTAAATAGCTCCCCTCACACAGGGTAGTGTCCCAGAGCACTTGAAAGACTCTAAGAGATTTTGTACTCATTCAAACACAGGCAAAAGGTTTCCAGCACAAATTCATGCACCAGAGATGCAGATTTAAGCAAACCAAAGTGCATGCTAATTTTCTGAGGGAATTACATTATCTACATATTTGATTACTTACATTCCTCTTAGGGTATAATCAGTTTCAGATTAACATTTGTTTGTAACCTCAGATTAAAATCAAATTATAATCCTTGCATTTATAGCGCTATATCATGTCCCCAGAAACATTTCAAGGCACTACACGATTTATCGCAAAATGTAACGGTAATATATTTTAGGGGAACACAGCAGCCAATTTGCACAAAGCATTCATTCTCTCAAAAACAGCAATGTAGTGAATGACCAAGTTTATCTGGGCGATGGTTGGCCTGGGCACTGGAAGAAATAACCTATGTTAATTTTATAACAATAGTATAAAAATCTAACTTGGTTGTTCAAGCAATGCAATTGCCAAAATTTCTCTGTCTCAGAGATATTGTCCTACACAAAGGGTTCCGATTGCTAGATAAATGCAAGTTGTTGTTGAACAGGTAGGATGTCCTAGCTGGACAAGCGGCAGGAAGTTTCCCAATTTTCCAGCTGCGCATTTTTAGAGTTGAATAAACTCTAGAATTACCCCTAATTCTACTTTGGAGTCCCCAAGCCTCGGCTCTTTAACAAACCGCATTTAATCTCCCTAGGATTGGGTGAACAGAGTGCTTCTCCTTGGGGAGAGAGTGTGTCTTCCATACCAGAAAAATGAAAAAACATAAGACATGTGGAAATCCCAGTAGTTTACTTTGGAAACTCAAAGAATGGTGATAGTCTTTTGTGTATAAGATTCCC